CTCAAACTTCCTTTCAGATGGGCTTTTTTCATTGTACTCGGAATTTTCCAATTTCATGTACATACTTTAATCAATAGTTCAGTACTTATATATGTTTTAGGGATTGCATCATTTTTCCAATTTTCTCCCATGGGACAATGACAGTGTCTCTCTCTCTTGTACATTTAAAGTATCCACAATAAACATTAGTCGTATAGGTATTGAGTTTACTTGCTCAAAAAAAAAGAAGAAAGTTCTCCTGATTTTCTAAAAAATTGCAGTTGCCACACAGGCATAACCAAATATATCTAAAATTTACACAACACCAAGAGAGCTTGTCCTGTGTTTGCTCCCCTAACCTGCCCCAATCATTATTCTATTGTTATGTGAAACATTTGTTTTGAGGAATTTCTGACAACCTTCTAGTTTGTATTGCTCTTCTTCCAGCTCCTGCCTCGTTAGTAGGCAGGGAATCTAATTCCCTAGGAAGCATATTATCTGAAACTTACAATCTGTATATGCCACATGTTTGATTTTTTTCTAAATTTCACCTCATCCTCTTTGTAGATACCTATTTTTAAAAGTCATTATTGCTTTCCAGCTGTCCAAATTTTCTCATTTTTTTCTTAAGAACTGACTTACAGCAGGAGGTCAATATCTTAGCCATCATTAATTTCACACCCTCCTCTTCTCATTTATTCACTGGTCTTTTTTCTCTTGAAGATCACTTTTTTCCTTGATACATTTATAAAAGCCCTTCTTACTCCATCTAACCTCTTTTACTAGCAATATCTCATTTCCTACTTTTGTGCTCCTTATCTTTTCTTTGCTAACTTTAAGTTGTTCTGTCTATTTTTGTATAGTTTCTGCCTTCTCCACTCCCAGGGTAATTGTCCTGTTATGCATGGATCTTGAGCAGCCACTGGGGATGACAGACTGTATTTTTACTAGAATTCTAGAGGCAGAGGGCTCTGCAGTGCCCCGTTCTGCTCTGCCCAGCTCTCTCCCTGCCACAGTGCAATAGAGGCTTTTGCATTTTTATTATGTTGTCTTAGGCTACTTCACACCTATCTACAATTATGCAATCTAAAACCCATTGCATCATACATATTCGATTTCCTTCCAATGTGTTTTTCAACTAGGAATAGTACCTTGTAGTGTTGTTATCAATGATCACATTTCTAAATAAGCAGTGGAGAGAATGGAAATGATTTACTCTATTAGGGGGAGGTCATTTGCATACTATTAAGTGATTTGCATGCTGGCAGAGCCAGAACTGTCTTTCAGAGGCTTTCCCACATTCCTCCCTTAATAGCAAGGTGTAGTTTATTTTACTCACTAAAAAACTGTCCTGTATTTTTCTCTCTCATACCATTCTCTCCCACTAGAGAATAATGCAGACTAACACAAGCATGACATTGCAAGGTAGTTTCTATCTTCTGCGCTAATGCTCTCTGTGGCATAATTCATCATCCCCTTTGATTTCTCAGGGCTGGTGACAATGGTGACTCCCCTAATATCTGAATGAAGTACTTCATAAATATCTTGCTGAGTGATTGATATCTCCTCTAGTTATTTTTCTCACACCTCTTCCCCTCCGTATATAACAGATGGGCTTCCATCATCAGAGCAGATGCTGTGGAAAAAGTACCAGGAGCCTAGAAGGCCCCCATGTAGCCCCAGCTCTCCCATTAGAACCTCCACTGTCTCCATGAGCCACTTAACCTCTCGGGGCCTCCACTTCCATGTCAGTAAATTGAAGATGAAAATGCCTTCTTCAAAGGCACACTAAGGTGATCAGAAAATACACATATACAGGAAAGTGCTTCCTAATATGCAGTAGTCTGATATTTGGATTTCTAATACCTCTTAGTTTTATGATGCTAAGTTTCCAAAATCGGATGAAGTCAGAATTATTTTCTATTTCACCTATCTCCCTTTTTAATTTGTCATAAAATAAACAAACACACTTCTAGGAAGGCCAGCTATGTTTTGAGACATTCCTAATAGTCAGTTGTTAGACCCCTAACAGAAGGATAATTTTAGCCACTCCCATCTCTGTCCCCATCCTTGTCTCATTAGCAACCACATTCTCCACCTTTCTTTTTATAATTTAGGAGAGACCCTGCAGGGAGAAGCAGGGCTCTTGTTTAATTTCTGACTGAGCCTCATTCACTGAGGTAAGGTGTCGGGGCTGCCTGTGGATCTGGAAAGCATTTTGGAAGTAAGAAGCAGACAAATGTAAATCTTTTAAACCCCTATGATAAGCAAACTCTCCTCAGTTCAACATATAAATATAAACACTAAATCAAATCAGATGCTTATACATTTTTTAAACCCATCATAAAACATTTTGTTTTGACAGCTTGGTAATGTAAAGTAAAAACACCGACAGCCAAAAGAATCAGCATCTTTGCCTGCCTACTACCTGAAAGTCTTTCCTGTATATAAATAGCAAAAAAAAAAAAAAAGAAAAAAAGTATGTTTATGTAAAGGGAAACACTGATTTACTAGAACTGATTGCTTCATAGTCTAATTACTTTTCAACTGGCTGTTCCAAATTAAGATGTCATTGATGGCTTTTGGTGATATATTTCATTTTAAGCAAATTTATTCTATAATAGAGTACATCATAATGGAAAGCAGAGTTCCTACACTTCCCTCCTCTTTGTAGCCTGATATCTTGACAAGTAAATTAAATTTAGCAGTTAAAATGCTTCCATTAGTAATTTTATTAAGTTAATTAAAGAATCTCTCTTTCTGAATTTTAACTACCTTCCTTTCAGAACAATGTTGATTTCTTTTTTATTTTTTTAATTTCACATATTTAGGGACTGTGATATATTCTAGACCAATCAACAACTCTATCACTATTACATTTCTATGGGCAAGATGCTACCAAGAATATCAAGTAAGAAGAAAAAAGGAGCTCAAAAGACTTAGAAATAAATGGTCTGCTTCATACACAGAGGAGATAGGGTTTTAGTAACTTTAAAAGAAGGAAGAAGAGGAGAAGGGAGAGAAAAGGAGAGTCTATGTTCTCAGGAAAAAGCAGAACTGCTAACTCGTGTCTCCACACATAGACCATAAGTCATAAGCAGTTCAAGTAGAGTTTAGTTTACAGATGGAATAAGGAAAACTCCAACTCTGTCTTTTTCAGTGAGTAGTACCAAACAAGAGACTGAAGTTGGTGAAGGACAGATTAAATGAAATACTGGTCCCTCTCAAAAGAGTGACATTTTAAAAGAACCCAAATATTTCTAAGAGATTTAGGGCAAAAGAGTTGTCTCAGTGACCACTGCCTAATTCTTGTGCTTGGTGTTCCCAAACTCAAGAATTACAGAAATTATTTGTAGAACAGGAAGGGAACACTGCAAAAATTTTATCTAATTCTCTCATGTTAAAGATGAGGAAACTGAGAGCCACCACCACCAATTATAGTAATAGTAACTACAACAGTGGCTAATATTTATCAAACTCATCACTGTAAAACTTCACGTACATTATCTCATTAAAAACCCCCATGAGATTAAAAAAAAAAGGCCCCATGAGAGAGATTCTCCTAATGCCCTAACATTATAGATATGAGAAATAATGACTAACAAAAATTAGGTAGCTTGTGCAAAATCTGTATGACTTCAAGTCCCATGTTCATACTTGTATAAACTCATTACCTCAGATGAATGACGTGGGGCATGCAACTAGTTTGCGGTTCCCTTAGGACTAACTCAGAGAACACCTGCTTCTCAGATCTGCTCTTTAAAAGAAACTAAGCCATATGAAGAGAACTGGAAAGCCAATGGTTGGGCTCTGAGAAGATGCTGATTTATTTTAAAAGTAATCCCACTGCCCAGTGGAGTGTCTGTTTTATGGGTTAACCTTATCAAATGTTACACCTGTGCATTTAGACCCACAGTGACATTTCATTTAAAATTAGGAGATTTCACCCTTTAGTCATTCATTGAAGAAATGGGAACCCAAGAACATATCCATGGCAATTACTAGGAACACCTCCATCTTCTCTCATTTTCTAATCCCCTGCCTCCCTCCAGTATCTCTCTTTGGTTGCTCACAAGCTCACTGTTCAATCTCCATCATGCCTCCCCCAGAATTACTCCCACCACCCACCATCCTCATGTTACATCTGGGATCACTATAGTCTTTTACACTTTTACACTATAGTCTTTGCACTCCAGTACCGCCAACACCCACTTCTGCCTTTTTACTCCTGGGGGTTCAATGCCTTCTGCAGCTATGCTCCTTACTCGCTACTTCCCTCACGAGACTAGGTCATTGTGGCATTCTTCCTTCTACTCTTTCCCTATTCTTCAGATTCTGTTCCAAAAAAGTTCAAGAAAGGAATCTGGCAACTCCTATTTGCTTCCTGGACAGAACAGATGAAGCCTCTAAACTAAACTGTATAATAGGCTAGAAGGGAAAAGATTGATACTACTTTACTCATATATACACACACACACACACACACACACACACACACACACACATTTTTCACACCAGGAAATGCTAAAATGGTAGATGCTCACCCCAATGTTCTTTGTATCTTTGAGGGAGTCTTTCTTTCTGGCTGTCTGTCTCTCTCTCTCTCATTCTTTTTTTCCAATATCAAGATAAACAGATTTGACAGCTTTATTGCCCTTTGCCTCTGATTTGATCCCTTGTCATCCTGAAGGTTTTCAAGATGGTGCTCCACAATTTCTGAAGCACAAGAAATTGGCACAGGTCCCCTGGAGTGTTTTACGTGGAGGATGTTTCCTTTACTAAGCATACCCCTCCCCAAAATGATGTCTTTACACAGAATCTAGCATTCTGCAATATTTCTCTTATTAATAGTTGGAGAGACCCAGAAGAAAAGAGATCAGCCAGTACATTTTTCTGATTAGAAATGATCCTCCCTGCCCTGACCCTTGGCTGAGAATGAACACTACCTGTAGCCTGGAAGCATGTTTTCTATGTACCCAACCACACAGCAAATAAGTTGTCACTAGAAATTTACCTCTTACCTTCTTGACATCCTGCCATTCATGTTGCATTTGCTCTTTGTTGAGAATCTTTTCAATTATTTTGAGGATCTTGTTGTTTTCTAATGTGGAGTTCAAGTCCAGTAGTGAAATCTGTTTCATATTTGTAATCAGTTTTCAGCTCTGGAAGAAGCCCAGATTGGTAAGCCCCTGTCAAGTGAAAAAGAGAAAAAAAACAAACAAACTAGAATTTAGTTATGCAACCCGAGTTTACAGAAGATGAGAGAAGATAACTCACAGGGGAAGGACTTGTAAAAATAAACATTATGTCCTCTCCTCCAATTCCAGTCCTTCTGGCCCAGCTTTCAACTTGGAGAGTGATTAATTAAATGTATACAAACACAAAAGAGCCATTGGGATTGTGAAATTATGTGCCAAAATCTCCATTATCTGTCACATGAAAGGAAGAATGTGTGATTTAAAAATAAAATACCAGAAGAAATGTAACAAGTTTGATGGAGTAGATGTAGCTGCCCTTAGTTTTGAAAGATTCGATAAGTTTCTTCTTACTTGTCCTTCACCCTGGAGGCTTCTGAAGAGGCCTGAGTATCTGGCTTAAAGTGAGTGATGCTACTTGAAATGAAAAGCCAGGAGATTGCAAATCACTCTCCTGCACAGGCTTGGAATAAACTATGGCGTGGCTGATGGACAGATGCAGGTATTTAAGTGAGTGTGATTTCCAAGCAACAATTTCTAAACCCTGCGTTGTTGTTGACCTCCATCACGCGATTGGACATGTTTATGAAGGCACCTGCAGTAGAATGAAATGCACTGGAAAAAATGCTTCAGTCATTTTCCAACACGACAGCAGTATTACTGCAAAATGAAGCCACATTACCCCAATCAGTAACAATCCAGCTTCGTACCCTTCATCTGCTTTACGGTCTGAATCCTTTCTGTTTCAGGAATACAGCTGTGAATTCGTTTGGTAGGAACCAAGTGAGGTACGTAATCTAATGTGTGAGCTCAGGTAAGACTAAGAACCAAGAAGGGATGTATAGAATGGTACAAGATTATACTTTTATCATTTCATTTCTCCTTCTGTTTCTTTTCTTCTTAAAGGCAAAGTATCAGGAAGGTAAAATTAACCCCCAAACAAATTTTTTCTCTGTGATTTGATTGGCTGGGAAGCAAAGGCAGTGCAGCCAATCAGCAGCCTTTTAAATCCAACACAGTTAACTGTACATTGAAATATACGGTCGACAACTGTGTGTTCAATTAAATAGCCGAAAGCAGTTTGTAAAGGTTGAAAGCCTCAATTGCACACCAAAGCTACACAGGCCTGCTCATATTTCCTGCTTCCTCATGAAGACCTGAGATAGTTACTTCCTCAAAAATTAAAAGCAGACATTTCTGTTGTCTGGTAGGCACTTCTGAAAAGCTTTATTGTAAATGAGATCAAATATTTGCATTGAACCGTTTCTTGAACCTTGTCAAAGAGAGAGAAAAAAAAAACACTACTAAAAAAGCAAAGACTGATCCAACCCCACCTTCTCACTATTGCCCATCAGAATCACTTCTGGGGACTCCACTTCATCTGTTCCCAAGTAATAGTCTGTGATATATTTCATACATATATGCAGTTTTACTAAGGCCAGTCTAGGTTATTTCCATTTGAAACATTGGTGAGAAAATAGAGTTGGTAACACACTCTGGTTAGAGCACAGCTATCTGCAATTACAGCCATTCCAATTTCTGGCAACCCAGTGGTGACATTTTTCACATTCCACTTAATTGTATAATGATTTACATATACATCTCTTAGCTATAAGATACTCCAAGGCGGAGACCATCTTTTTCATCTTTAAATCATTGCAGCATCTGACACAATACTGGGCATATTGATCTTAAATGTTGAAAAAACAGAATGAATGGATGAATGAATGAAGTAGGGAATTAATATTTAAATACAGATTTAAATATTGATAATTTGTGGTACAGTTGCACTACACTGAGAGTTCCCTGGAAGAGTTTTCAGACAGGAACAGAGAAAGCTTGGCTGACTATTCTTGGAGAACACACTGACTGTTTGTTGGATGGAGACAGTTCACCAAGAAAGCAGATTTTGACCCTTCAAGAACTTGAATGTGATGATGAGTTTATGACAGTTCTAAAAGCCAACATACGGTTGGTGGCCAGATTGTGGTTCTGGACCGAGAGGCTTCCATTTGGAAGACAGACAAGCATTTGAATTATGGGTCTAATGAAAGTGTCAATAGCAATCCTGTTACTGGAGGAGCTGTAAAACCCTGCTTAATGAACTAGGCAGGGACACAAAAACACAATGGTCTAAAATGTACTGTATGAGAAAATGATAATTAGCCCAGATTTCATGTACAAGATAAAATGCATAGAGATGATATTACCACTGAGCAATATTATAGCCCTTCAGGGGACTGTTTTGTTAACAGGGTTTGGCTCAGCCCTTTTAATCCTCCTTATATGAGTGGAGATGTACTAAACAATGGTGAGCTGTGAGTTGGGGGAAGAATGTCAGATGGTAAAATTCCTACCGTTGACGCTGACAAACACTGACGGCAATAAAAAGGGTTCTGGCCTCATTAAGGGTTCATTCTTATTTAGGAGGCTTATGCAATATAGGATGATAAGCCAAATGGCTCCCTTGCACAAAAGGAATGAAGGGGAAAGAGGAAGTCATTCTCTAATCTTGAAGTCTATTTTTCTAGACCACCAAACATCAACCAGGGAAGAAAGGCAAGACAAGGCCAGATCTGTAGTGAGCAACTGAGCAACAGCCACCTACTTGCACCCTAAGAGTTAGGGAGCTACTAAGGTGGCCCTGAGTACAAAAGTGAGCATTGAATGTGGAGTCAGGGGGCTGAGATTCTAGTCCTAACTCTGCGTGAGCTCTGAGTTTGAACTTTCTCATTTCTTAAAAGGAGGGCCAAGGTAGATTAGAGTGAAACTCCAGTAACTTTAAGGGGCTTGCAAATCACCTGAGGATTCTGTTACAATACAGATTCTGATTCTGTGGGTCTGAAGCGGGATTGAGATTTTTGCATTCTTAAAAAGCTCCCAAGCTATTCCGATGCTACTGGCCCGTGGACTGCAATTTGAAGAACAAGTGACTACACAGTGTTTCTCAACTTGCAAATTCTGTGAATCCACCAAAATCAATAACAATCTTTTGGCTATTTGTTACTGCAAGTGGGCAGAAACAAACAATTGTTGGGCTCTTGGTATCATCAATACAGCCTTTTTTGTCTTCTTTCTTATCTTTTAAATCTAAATAAGCTCCTTTAAACTAGCTACAAAGCTATATGAATACTCTGTCCTTTATAAAGATAAACTAGTCAGGGATCTTTGCCAGTGGACTGTTAATACTGTTAGCCAGCTAAATACTGTTTTTGAATCAGTTGTTTTATGACCAAATGGACTGCATGTGGAGAAAAAAAATGAGGGAAGCTGAAAATTATGAATTAAAATGGTGGATCCATATCTGCTAAACTAAGAACAAATGATGGAAAGTAAGGCATAGTGACTGTATGAAAATAAGCACGACAGCCATCGGATGGTGTGTGGGATACACCTCGTGCCTTCCACAAGCAGTACCCTAGGTGCTTAGCCTGTTGGAAGTGACCTAGAAAGCTGTAATCCACTGCGTTCTCTCCACAGATGCTTACTTCCTTATTGCCCAAGCTTGTTTTTTGAGATGGCATGTCTACCTGGGGGAGAAAGGGAAGAGTACTGTGTGAATCCTTAACTTAGAAAGTATTTCACAAATCTGCAGACAGGGATTTTGTATTTAATGGATATTTTCTTGATCATGTCAAGCAAACTATCTGGCACATAATAGGACCTCAGCTAATATTTGTTAAAAGGAATGAACTAAAAGCAATGAACATCACAGGATCTTCAATAGTTTAAGAGTTCAGAGTTTGGAGGTAAAAGTTGGGAAAATTTATCCTCAGTTATAAAAAAAGAACTTCTTTCTTTTCCTGCTATCCTTAAAGAAAAAGCTTTGTCTGGAGAAGAATCAACAAATTCATCTTTGAACAAGAATTTAAAGAGTTCATACTATGTACTTTACACTTCCTATAAACCATCTTATTTACATCTTTCAACAACCCTTAATGTTATTACTATTATCATTCCCAGGTGCCCCAGGAACTAGGGGCTTCACCCAAGTTCTTCTGACTTGGAAGGTAACACTCTTCCCAAAACTTGTAATACAGTTGGGGATGGGAGGCAGGGAGGAGAAACAAGGTAATTTTAAAAAACAAGGGAAAAAGAATAAATTTTCTAAGTGCTAAATTATGGAAACCATTAAGCTATAAAGAAATCAAGAGAAGAGGGAAGTGGACATGGGTCTTGATTGGTTTCATGGAGAAGAGCTGGGAGGGGGCCCAAAGTTCACTCATTCACAACATATGTGTAGAGCCCCTGTAGAAAGAAGCTGGAGAGTAGACAGATGAAGTAAGAAGATGAAGTCTCTTGAAGAATAATGAAAGTGATCAGTGTTTGTTTTTGAGAATAAAGGGATCAGACAGACTTTGTAATGTTGACCAGGAGAAAGCAACATATGGGAAACTGTCTTTCATTTCCAGCATATATTGAGCACCCAAAATACACAGCCAACAGGGTGGGGAAAAGGGAACATGTGTTGCTAAGATAACCTAAAGGCAAATCGTGAATAAGCTAAAACCTCCAGCCAGACAAAAGCCTATTTGTAAATTACTCCACTTAATTTCCCAGGTCGTGATTGCCTCTCTCTACAAAGCGGTTTATGACATTCTCAATTAAGAGTTTGCTATAAAAATGAAGTATTCCAAAACTGCTATGAGATATTAAAGATGAGTCACTTTTAAAAAGTGGCTTTGTTTCCTATGTTCTGGATAATGCATTTGAGAATGTAGTTTCCAGCCTCACCCATCACCCCATTGTGAAATCAAATTGAATGACTCTCTGCTCTTAGAATGATCACTCATTCAAATGCATTCAATAAATAAAGCCCAAACACAATGAGGCACTTTTCACAGAGCATCCGGGAGAGCTAGGGCCTGGTCTCTTTCACTATATGAAGCTGAGATTGAAGTAAATAAAGCATTCATCCACACTGACTACATAATACATAGTGACTTATTGTTTACTAAGCTCTTACATGTGCATTATCTCATTTGATCCTCACA